TGCAACAGAGGCAAAGCAGCTCTTTTCGTGGCCAGATTGGGCGATTGTCCGATTGTTTTCCCTTCAAGATGTCTCAATAGAAATTGTTCCCTTCACTTTGTAGACTAAGCAGAAATTGATAGCTTCACGAATGAAGCTAAATCAGGGAAGAAATTTTTGTGAAAGTGGGCTGAAGAATCAGCCTTATGGTGGGTTTCGCTCCTTCACACTTTTCATCAGCCGTTCTTCGACCCTCCTTCCCTAAAATCTCTCTGTTTCCTTCCCTACTAACCCCGGTTTCTTCCCAACCTCCCTGATTCTCTCTTGCTCTCTTTTTGTTTCCTTCAATCTTCCTCAGACTTCATTCTCAGAAACTAGCCGTCTGCTCTCTTTTTCTGGTTTCCTCTTGTGCCGTCAAAACCTCCCAAAACCTCTCTAGCCTTCAAAGTTCAGACTTTTTCCTCTCGCTCCCCAAGCTTCTTTAGCTTTTATCTGCCTTTTCACTACAGCCCCTAGCCGTCCAGACTTCAGCCCCGATTTCTCTTGTTATCCGTCCTATCTTCCTCCTCTCCCGCTGTGTTTTTTTCCTTTGCTGTTGTCGACCTTCCCTCCCTCTCCGTAACTCTCTCGTATCTCCTCTCTTCTCCCCCTTGCGGCTGTCATTCTTTTTCTTTTATATCCCAGTTTCTAACCCTAAAACCCCAGCAATCCTTCGTTTATTTGCAGTCGAAACCCCCAGGCCCTTCTTGTGCAAGCTGCCAAAATGCAGCTTGCCGCGACTAGAATGTCTCTTTTTTTCCTCAATTTTCCTCTTTTTCTTTTTTTTTTTACTTACATGAAATTGACAAAATATAAATAATAACAATAATAGAAACAATCAATAAAAAACAAAAATGCTTGTAACCTGAATTAATATTTTTTGGGAATTTTCCTTTTCTTTGAAAATAATTAAAATGTATCAAAAAGTAAATAATACCTATTATACTAAAAGCTCTTTCTTCAATTTTCAAAATATTTCACTTTTTTCTTTCAAAATAAGCCATATGCATTAAACCATTTTTCCCTTTTTCTCATTTTTTCTCTTTTTCTTTTTTTGGCATTTTCTCCTTTTTTCATTTCTTTCAATTTTTCACTTTTAAATGAAGAAACTAATCTAAAACATATATATATATATTTTTTTTTTTTTTTTTTTTTTTTTTTTTAGAAATTCTATGCTAAAACAACTAAACTAAAAGAAAACAAAACTACATGTGACAAATAAAAATAGAACAAATAAAAACAAATAGTAAATAAATAATAAAACACCAAAAATTTGGTGTCTACAGTTTGCCCCTCTTTGTCTGAGTTTTGGAAAAACTTGAGACAAAGAAGTAGACACCAAATACTTACCTGCTTTATTCGGCGGCGAACGTCACGAACGGTGGACGTTTTAGAAATGGGGATTGACCCCTTTTATGAAACTGACTCGGACGAGAAATTTAAAAAATTGGGATAGACCTACGGGATAGACCCGGACAGAAATATAAATTGGGATAGACCCACGGGATAGACCCGAACAGAAAATGTAAATGGGATAGACCCAGACAGAAATTTAAATGGGATAGACCCAGTCAGAAATTTAAATGGGATAGACCCAGACAGAAATTTAAATGGGATAGACCCAGACAGAAATGAGATGGAGTGTTGGTGGGATGAAAACACGCACGTTAGTGAGATATACTCGATGCTAACGACGGTAGAAATGAAACACGCACGTTAGTGAGATAGACTCGATGCTAACGACGGTAGAAATGAAACACGCACGTTAGTGAGATAGACTCGATGCTAACGGCTGTAGAATGAAAAAACGCACACGTTAGTGAGATATACTCGATGCTAACGGTGGTTGAAGGCAGTGAATTAAATGTGGTTGTCAAGAAAAGAGGTAGAAGGTGTGTGGCGGACGCTGAGACTTGTCAATTAAAAGTTGAGATTTGAAATTGATTTCTTCAAGAAATAAGAAGTTAAACCTAATTTTTGATTGATTGATATTTGATGATTTTATTTTTTTTTTTTTTTTTTTTGGAAAAACTTTTCCAGGAATAATTGTTGCCCCGGTATGATGAACTGATCAGTGGGATTAAACCCGATCATGCCTTGGTTGCACTGGCGGCACAAATTTCAGACCCAATGGGATGTTGGCGGCACAAAGTCCAGACCCAACATGATTTTTGAGAAGTTGGCGGCACGAAAACCAAGCCCAACGGGATTTTTGAGAAGTTGGCGGCATAAAAACCAGGCCCAACTTGATTTTGAAAGGTTGGCGGCACGAAAACCAGGCCCAACTTGATTTTGAAAGGTTGGCGGCACAAAAACCAGGCCCAACGTGATTTTTGAGAAGTTAGCGGCATGGCGGCACGAAAACCAGGCCCAACGAGATTTTTGAGAGGTTGGCGGCACGAAAACCAGGCCCAACGAGATTTTTGAGAGGTTGGCGGCAACGAGATTTTGAAGGGTTGTCGGCACGAAAACCAGGCCCAACGATATTTTGAATTTTGAAATTTTTTTTTTTTTTTTTTTTTGAAAGATGTGCGGCATGCATTGAAGCTTTCAAAAATAACTTTGATTTTTTGACCCCAATTGTAGGGCTCTTTTCCCTTCTTTCTTCGCTTTCTTCGGCATCGGCCTTTCACATCACCAGATGCTCTTTCGTCGACTTCAACTATTGATACCTGCACAGGGCTTACCAAAATATGACATGCACTCAAATTTTGTGAAAAGAAACAGCGTGATTGATTTGAAAAATGCATTATTTTAATTCTTGGACGAAATCCTCCATTGAACTACAAAAATATTTGCCCCTGTGTGGGTTTATTCTCACAAATTCTCATAACAAAATTTGCCCCAGTATGGGCTTATTAGAGCTTGGATCTAAAAGAAAAATAGAAATAATTGTAGTAATAGATAATACCACCACCATCCGATCAATCTTGCTTTCAAGAAATGTGTAAACATGAGCACTTGGGCGTTTTCCCTCGATGTAGCGAAACTTAATTTTGCTTTATGAATTGTGCCAAGTTCCCCAACTTCCAATGCTACTAAGACCCTGGGTATCCAGCCAATCATAGGGGTTGCTGTTTGCTAAACTCGTAACCCAACTTCGCTCCTGGAATCACATCGTATCCTCTCGACTTTTGATGCTGATAAGACACTTGATATCCAGGTAACTCCAATAAATCGTAGGGATTGCCATTGGATAAATCCAAAGAGATGAATAATACCATGAAACAAATAAAAGAATATTCTATGTACACAACAAATGATGAAAATCTCACGTAAATTTGAAAACAATCATCCATTTTGAGAAAAAAATTAATTTAAGAAAAATGAACCTGTAAACTTAAAATTTTATGTGTAATGAACTAAAATACTTTTGATTCCTCATTTGACCTTTTGGATATCGTTCTTCCGGAGTTTGATGTTGGCAACAAAACCACAAGGTGAAGGGAAATTTTAATGAACTAAGACACCGATTTTCCAGATCCAAACTCATTTCTCCTTATGAAACCCGACCTTAACGCCCTTGCAGGTATTCACTAAGGCTACCACCCCACCTTTTCTTTTTTTTTTCCGCTCTTCTTCTTTTTCCTTTTTTTCCTTTCTTTTTTTTTTCACAGGTGCCTTTTTTTCGAATTTTCACCTGATGAACAAATCTTGCCAATAGCCTTTATCAACTCAAAAAATGTGTTTTAAGAAATAATGGCATCAGTGCGGCAACCCCTTCCCTTATAAAATGAGTGAAGGCGTACTGACATCATTTGCCATGTGACTTAGAAAATTTCCTTAAAAGAGGTGATGCCAAGAATGGAAGTCAGGACTTTTTGGCTTTTATAATGGGGTCTGGTGAGGTGCTTAGAAAAGTTAAGGCTTGAAAGCAGATTTCTGAAAGTGGTTTAACAGACCTGAGATCGCCCTGTTGCATTGACCCTATTTTAGGGCGAAACCAAAACTTGCCCCAGTCTATTTTAAATTTGAGGTTCTTTTCTTTTCCATTTTTTCTCTTTTGATGGATTTCTCCTTTTGGCTTTTTGCCATTCTTTTGAAATTTTCAAAATTTGCCCCAGTTTATACTCAACCGAGGTTCTTTCTTTTCTGTCTTTTTCTTTTTGTTGTTTTAGCACTTTTCACCTCTCGGGGCTTTTCTTTCCTTTTCCAATTTGCCCCAGTGTGGGGTTTGCGATTCTCAGGGGTTGCCAAACGAAATATTTTATTCTGAAGGCTCAAAAGGGATAACTAGGGATAAAATGTCTCAAAAGGAAAGGAAGAAGGCCTGACTTTCATTCCATTCTTTGCATTAACCCTTGAAAGGAAACTTTCGTTTATCAAATGAAGAATTTCTTACACATATTTGAATTGATCGGCTGAGGGAACATTTGCCCATCTATTTCTGTGCGAATGAGCGCTCCCCCGGGCAGAAATTTCTGGACAAATAAAAGGGTGCTGCCAATTTGGTACCCAATTGCTCTTAGTTTCCTCTTTGCACTGGCAAACTTCTTTTCAATACTTTATCTCCTTCTTCGAACACTTTTCAACTTTTCATTCAAAATGAATGCTAAATTCATTTCTTTAACATTGATCCCAATTCAGTTCGAGTTTCTCTTTATACCATCTGAGTCTTTTTGAACTATCTCTGGATGTCCTCTCTTATTACTCCTTTCATTTTGAAATTCCAATTCACACTCGTGAGATATTGCTATTATCAAAATTCAGAACAGTGATATCCAAGAGAGGTCGGGGAATTTGAAAGAATGCGTAAGTAACAAAAAGTATAGAAAACTGTACACACATTTTTTCATTTCAAGATGAAGATCAAAACATGTATTCAAAGTCACTTGATTGAAAACTATTTACAGAAAACAAATTAAACAAAAGACACACACGTGAATGATTTTCATTGGTTTTAACCAAAACGAATCCCCCAATTTATCGAAATTCCTTTTAAGAGGGCGGAATCTCACTAATTCAGCCCCTTTTCAGGTTTCTCAAATTTCCTCATGAGGGGTGGATGTCTCAAAGGCGTCCTTATGTTTAGGAAAAGGATTTGTACTTACACTCGATCCTTGTATATCCTTTTCCCTTAGCACTATTTCTCCGACCTCGATCATATCCTGGACTTTATGTTTCAATGCCCGACAATTATTGGTGGAATGCCCAGGAGCTCCAGAATGATAAGCGCAGACGGCTTGAGGGTCATAGTCAGAGGGAAAACGGTTAAAATAGATATTAGGAGGTATAACACCAATTTTCCCGACTGCTTTCAATTGCTCATATAATTGGTCAACAGGCCAACCCAAATTGGTGAAAGTTCGGTATGGCGTTGGATTTTGGGTGTCACTGGTTTGGTGATAGTGGTAGGTCGGGTTGACGGGTAAAGTGGATCTTGGATGATAAGGAGGGTGAGGTCTAGTTGGAAAGTTTGGTGGAGAAGTATGATATGGTATAGTGGATGTGTTTGGGTAATTTGGCCGGGGTCGAGGATGGTGAATAGGGCGAGAGTTTGGGTAGTATGGGTAGGTGGATGAATAAGTAGGGTGATTTGAAAATCTAGGTCTGGCTGAGGGGCTCTGTTTCCCAACAAAAGCAGTTTCCCTTTCTTTTTCCTTAAATTGGGACTTCTTCTCACTGTTATTCTGTCCTTGCAGAGCCTCTAGTTGCATCTTCAATGTCGACACATTAACAATTTTCCCGGCCTTCACAAACTCATCAAATTCTTCCAATTTATTAACCATCTCGGCAAAGGAACACCCGGTCATTCGAAAAATTTCCTCAAAGTAGGGCGGGTCATGAGCTTTGATGAACGTGCGAATAATCTCATTTTCAGTCATGGGAGGCTCTACTTTGGCAGCCAATTTCCTCCATCTTTTTGCATACGTCTTATGGTCCTCCGATGGCTTCCTCTTGGTTCCCTCAAGTGTGGACCTCGTTGGAGCAAGCTCGCAATTGTATTCGTACTGCCTCATAAAAGCGGTTGACAAATCCATCCAAGATTTCATATCCTCAGGCTTCAAATTGGAGTACCAATCCAACGCGTCACCTTCTAGACTCTCGGGAAATAGGCGCACAGGTAGATTCTCATCATCTATCGGCTTCCCTAGCTTGTTTGCAAACATCCGAATGTGTGTTTTGGGATTGCCATTTCCATCGTACTTGCTAAATTTGGGCGCTTTGAAACCCATCGGCAATTGCATATCCGGAAACAAGCATAGTTCGCTGTAGTCTAGACCTCCTTGCTTGCTCACACCTTGGCTTTTCCTTATAAACTCCTCAAATCGATCTAATCTCTTTAGCAAGTTCTTGTCCATCGGTACAAATGACTCCCCGACTTCAACTTTTCCTTGAGCGGCGGTATTGAGGATGAATGGCTCAGCGGTGGGATAATAATGAGGTCCTTGTGATTCGAATGGCATGCTCATAGTAATTGGCGGATAATTTTGGGGAATTTGGACATGAGGAGGGTTAATTTGGATGTTGGGTGCATAAATAGGTGGTGGGCCATGAGTGGGATATGTAAAGGCTTCTTCAGGTGGATTCATAGCTTGTGAAGTAACAGAGATTTGAGCATAGGGTAAAAGTATTGGTTCAGATTGGGCCAGGGGTAAGGATTCATGTTGCTGCTCACCGCTAGCCCCTCCAGTGACCAATTGATCGATTACGCGCCGTTGGGTCATCATTTCAACGCTCAGCTCATTAAATCGGCTGAAAACTTCACTCAGCTGAGCTCCCAGATTCACCAAGTCAAACGGTGATGTGGTTGCAGGCCTATCAAATGACTCTGGATGGGTACTCATGTTTACACTATCTCTTGAAACTCGGCTACGTGATCGAGTGATAACGGGGCTTTTTCGGGTAACTATATTTAAATATTACCTGAAAATATGAGATGACTTGCTTTTAGATTTTAGCCCTCGCTTAGCTTTTTCCAAAAGAATAAAGAAAAAAGAAAAAAGAAAAAGACAAGAGTTAGTAAATATCCAAAAAATTCGGATGCATGTCCTATTGAGGGAGCCCTTTTTGTGCCAAGGGTAGGCCTAGAATGAAAATGCAGTCCTCCAGAGCATGCACTATACAATACCTGACAGATCCAACCAACTTATCGAGTGAAAAATAATTTGAAAATTTTGGCCAAATGAATGAAATTGAATTAGTGACTTATTCAAAGAATCGGCCGAATGACCCTAAAAAGGGTAAATTGATCAAATAAATTAACAATTTATTCAAAATCGACCAGGTGACCCTAAAAGGGATAAATTGGTCAAATGAATTGATGATTTATTCAAAATCGACCAGATGACCCTAAAAAGGGTAAATTGGTCAAATGAATTAATGAATTTGATTTATTCCAAAATCGACCAAATGACCCTAGAAGGGTAAATTGGTCAAACGAATTGAATGAAATTGATTTATTCCAAAATCGACCAAATGACCCTAGAAGGGTAAATTGGTCAAACGAATTGAATGAAATTGATTTATTCAAAATCGACCAAATGACCCTAGAAGGGTAAATTGGTCAAACGAATTGAATGAAATTGATTTATTCAAAAATTGACCAAATGACCCTAGAAGGGTAAATTGGTCAAACGAATTGAATGAAATTGATTTATTCAAAAATTGACCGAATAACCCTAGAAAGGGTAAATTGGTAAAATGATGGTTCATTCAAAATTAATTGACAAAACGGATCGACTGAATCGTTCGGCTATTGGTGGTTTCGAAAAAATTAGTTTATGAGCCTTCTAAAATCACGATTTGGCCTCAATTTATTTATTGTCTCAACAGGAGGCATTATTTGTGAATTTCTTCAAATTAACGTCCTTTACGCAAGGGATTTTTACCAAGTTTGATAAAATGGCCAAAAAGTGATTATTAGACGTTCATATTCCAAAAATCACTCTATGAAAATGATTGGATCCTACCTTACCTTGTGCACTACCCCTTTGGATGGTACAAAATGTAAACGTGCAAGTCTCGTTGGATTAAGTATCCGAGACACAAGGTGGCTTATTCCTAACACGGGATCCCCTAAATGGCATTCCCTTTCTAAGGTTTAATGCATGATGACATTTTATTAAAACAATGTAAATATGCAACAAATATGGCCTAAAGGGCATAAATAATGCATCGGGAGGAAGAGGTCTAAAATGAAATGTACTTAGCATAATGACTGAAATTTAAACATGTGAGCTATCTAGTGGGTAGGTCACTAAAAGAGTGCCAAAGAGGCCTCTTATTACTAAGGCATATGAATGCAAGACAAGAAAACAATGAAATGGTTAGCACAATTGATAGTACACATAACACACTGGGAGCAAATAAGAAAGGAAATACAATAAAACAAGTAAAAGGGGTGGAACCCCTTCCCTCGTGCCTAATGTGCTTAAAAGAGGGTAAGGCCGACTCTACCCTAGGCGAGTCTAACATGGATGCATGAGGCTGGGGTTCACTAATGCAACTAGACTCGATAAAGCTTCGGCTCCCAAGCCTTCAGACCTAAAGGCAAAGGGTCATCACTCCCAAGGCCTTCGATCGGTGGCTTGAGTGATCCCTTAGGTAGCGCTATGGGCGCAGTGCACACCAGCCGCCTACCCAAGGCAATCGATCCTAATCCTACAAGGCGGTGTGGGATAGCGCCCACGAAAAATAAAATAAAATGGGATAACAATAAGTAAACGTGCACGTATGAAGTGCTCCCTATTTTGAGGGAAGGGGTCGAGAACCAAACGCAAGGCTCTAAGGGTGACACACACCCCCCCAAATGCAATGCAAAGCGCGAAATCATACATAAATAAATCATCCATCCATCCAAACAATCGTAGGCGAATGTGTGAGGAAGTGAGTTGATACGCGAAATGCAAAAATCCTAAAAAAAGGAAAAAATGCAATCCTAAACATCCAATGTGATAAATGAAAAGGTTAAAAGAAGAAAAATGTTGATTAAATCAAATTTGCTCGGACTCTCGAAATTCCCCAGTGGAGTCGCCAACTGTCGCGCCCCATTTTTTGATAAAATAAATAAATGATTTAAAAATGTATTTTGTTATTGGAAAATGAATCGTGATTTGAAAGAAAAATGGGTCTAAATGTGACTTTTGAAAATGCGACGATTTGACCCAAGAAAAATAGTTCAAAAAGGGTTTTTATATGAGAAATGGAGTCGCCACTTGGTATAGAGTTAGGGCGTACCAAGTCACCCAAAAAGTGAATTTTTTAAGGAAAAAAAAGTAAGAAACCCTTTTGAACGACTCCTAGTCCACGCAAACAAAGAAAAAGATTCGGGAGTCACATTTGACGAAGGGGAAGGCAAGGATAAAAATCCAAGGCACCCCTTCGACCTAGCCAAGGCTAGTTGCGTTGATTTAATCAAAGATTTTCTTATTTTAATCAAAGAATTTATTACATTTGGATGTGCTACATGAATGCAAACCCTAGACCTAGGGGTATTGGGGGAAATTTCTCTTCAAAGGTTGAGTGGTGCCAATCACATTAATTGTGAAGCCCAATAACGATCCTTTTGAAGAGGCCACGAATAATGCGAGTGGGATGCAAATGAATGGAATGCATGTATGCAATGTGAGGACATTGAGTTTGAAAAAGTAATAAAAGACAATAATATGTAAGTGAAAATGTGCACGTGAGTGGGTAAGGTGCGGTATGTGAAATGATAATATGAAGTGCATGTGTGCAAGTGAAGAAAAAAGTGTTTGTGACGCCCCACATCTCCATAAGGCGGACCAAAGGGTATCCGCGGACGCCTGCCCAGCTCACGCCAGGACTCAAGCAATTCCATCCAAATTCAAACCGAACTAAACACTTCGATGAGAGCAACATGAATACAATAATGCGGAAGCGTTCAACTTAATAAGTCACTTAATGTATAACCAGTACATCGGTAAATCATGAAACGACTTAAATTCAAAGTACACATCAGGGCCCAAACTTTTCAAGTTTACAATTTCCAAAAGTACAACCCAAACCAGGGCCTAGTCAAAATATATATAACAGGAGTCTTAACAAAATTCAACGGATGGTTTCTCCATATTTCTCCAAGAGTCGGTCCTGTTAAGGAAAACAAAACTATAGGGTGAGCTAACGCTCGTGAGGCCAAGAACACACATGCAAGCACTTAGTCAAATAACAAACCCAAATTTAATAAATAAAACCATGTCTTTTCAATAATCAATTATTCAAACAGGAAAAGTAATCAGAAACAATTCAAGGATATAGTAGCTCTCAGGAGCTAAGTTCCACTCGATCTGCCGTTGTCATTCGTATACCTTCCCGCATTGACCCTCCTGTCAACCGGGTCGGTATTTCCATTTCCGTAGATCACCACTTACTTCCCTCCGTCCACCGTACACCTCAAGGGCCCACAAGTCTATTATTGGGCGATACTCTACAAGTATGCCAAGCAAGACCTCTTATTAGGTCGAGCTTATAATCTCATGGCTCGTTCGAATCCCCGACCAAGCCCATTGCTGGCTCGAGTCTAAGGACGGCCTATGAGTTTGGGCGTCCCCCATTCATTTGAAAGTCGAGGAGGTTCACTCCAACGACACAAGCATTCATGACATAACATTGCATTTCATTCATTCATTCAAGACATTCCATTCATTCATTTGAAATTAGAACGAGTGCGATAAAGTACACACCCGCCCTTATTTTTAAAACTTTCAACAAATATCACAATAAGCAAGTATCAAATTCATACACTTGACACTCACCGAGCAATTCAACAAGAATTATTTTCCGGAAGTTCAAGTGTCCACGGTGAGATCCTCTTGAAGGTCTCCTTGTGTGCCTGGCAAATTAGTAGTGGATAATCACACAATTAACCCACTTATCAAGAAAGATTGTACACTAGTACAATCTAAGAATTATTTTGCAAAAAGGAACCTCAATTACACGTAAATCGAGGTTCAACTTGCCTTTTATTAGGTATAATATTATTTGAGTTTTTATCATGAAAATCGTAAGCAAAACGTTTAAGAATATAAAAGAATAAAGAGTTTTTTTTTGAAAAACTCTATTTTCTTGGAATTGGAAAATTTTCCAGTTTTATGATAAATCTTTGAAAAATCGTAACTCGCTCGGTATAAGTCAAAAATTGGAAAACTTTATACCGTTGGAAACCTCTTAGAGAGTACTATAAGTTTCTAGAAGACACTTTTCCATGAATCAAAGTGAAAAGTGGTCGAAAATGAGCTTGAAGATGCAGGGTCGGTTTTCTTGGCAGAACGAAGTTGGTTTTTGGCCAACTTTGAAAATTCGGCACGATTCGTACGTTGCAAACCGGCCTCTAAAATTTTCAGCTCAATTAGTGTTGCAAGTGAAGTGTATGAAAAAACAAGCGGATCAAGAATCGGAGTTTCGAGCACCGAGATACGGTAGCCCGAAGTTGAGCAAATTCAAGACTGGAGAAGAATTTCCAGATTTGAACCCCCAACTTTGGAATTTTAATTAGGTATCGAAACGAACTTGAATTGGCACCAAAATTGGCAGTGTTTCAATACTATATGGAAGGTATCTCTCTATCGAATTTCGGGGAAAAATACCTTCGGTAAGGTAGTTAATGAGCCAACCGAAGTTCAAGAAAATCCTAAGGCAAACTGCCTTTGACTTGCATTTCCCAATTTGCAATCGTCTAACCAAGAAAGTTATCCAACCATGGTTCATTTGTGAAATAAGGGTCTAAGATACACCCATAATATCTTTGGTAAGTGTTTAATACTAAAACATCAACTAACAAGTTCATTCCAAGATTTGGTTCCAAACCAGTCCCAACATTAGGGTT